TCGATGCATACCCTAGGTGCATCAGTGTAAAATTCAAATATTTTGATCGTTGGACTCTCAGTGCATCGGTGCACTAAGAGTGCATCGATGCATAAAATGCATTCGATGTTTTGAAAAAGCCTGAGTGCATCGATGCATGGTCTTGTGCATCGATGCATCAAATGCACTGAGTGCATCGATGTATAAAATGCATTCGATGTTTGAAAAATTAATTGGTGCATCGATGCATGGAATGGTGCATCGCTTTGAAAAATTAATTTTAGGCTTGATTTTGGTTTAAAATACTTTGTGAAAATTGTTTCAAAAATAGTTTAAGTATAAAACACAATTTTACACATTTAGTAAGGTTTGAAATTGATCTGGAAAGACTTGGAGTAATAATTTGATATTCGAGTAATTAAATCGAATATACTTAGAAAATCATTTGTGAAATATTAAAATTTATTTAATTTAATTTGTTATATCAAAACATCAAAATGTTTTCAACACATATCGATGCAAAATTCATTACTAAGCAATAATTTATACCACGACACAATTATAAGATTTACTAATTATTTATTTTATTAATTTCCACTAACGATTTCGTTTTACAGTTTCTATTTCCAACAATACATACCATTTTCCCCTTTATATCCCTACACATAGTTAGGAAAATCAAATAAATTTATATGTGCACAATTAAATAGCCTATGTTTAACATTTTTTATTTTTTTAAAATTATATCTTTTAAAGTTTAATGAATGGAAAATCTTTTTTAGAATTAAAATATTCTTAAATAGTTGGACAGTGTGTATAAATCGATTATTTTAGTTTGATTAAATGATGGCTTATTTTGAAATTAAATTAAAAATTGGTAATTAAAAGTTGGCTTAAGTGTTATTTTTGTCCCTATAATAGATCTAATTTATCATTTTGACACTTATGGTGTTTTCACATAATTTAACTCTCAAAATTATTTAATTACGTCATCCTAAACTCTAAAACTAAACCCTAAATTCTAAACCCCATTGCCTAACCTCTAATCCATAAAACTTAAACTCTAAACCTTAAGCCCTAACTTAAAATCCTAAACAATGGTAAATATTTCAAATATTGATGTGATTAAACAACTTCGAGATAAATTGATACAAAATACCATAAGGACGAAATTAATTAATTGAGTCTACTACAGGAGCAAAAGTAATCCTTAAGCCTTAAAAAATTTATGATCAAATTGTAAAGTAAGCAAAAAATAGAGTGTCACATGACTATTAATCCAAGTTCAATGCCAACGAGTATTGATACATGTGGTTGAGATTCAAGAATTTGAGCTTGTAAGGCCAAGTTTGAATCCTATTACCGTCACTCTTGGTGGACAACATGTAAATTCATATGTAAATCCTAATTGGGTCTTAGGTATGCTCTGGCCCTAGACTGAGTGAGTCACTCCTAACCTAAATTTTTTAGTATAAAAAATTAATCCAATTTCAACTGAAACTGAAATTTGACAAAACAATGTATAATGACACTTTCGTAAATATGTTAATTAATATAATAAATATAATGATATTCCTAAATATTATGAGACTGATGAGATAGATTATCCTTAAACTTTACTCTATTTTCTTTTAAAATCCATCTCAAAACCCAATATTTAAAATATGATCTTATTACATATGATTGAGTATAACTTGTTGAAATTAAGCATTTTATTCATCATAATCTTTCAGTATACTAGCGGAGGAAATTAAAAAAGAAGAAGCAATATTGCATTTTATTATTATGGTTTAATACACTCTTATGTGTCTAATATACCTCAAATTGACTTTTAGATCCTCAATAATTTTTTTGTTAAAAATAAATGCCTAATATTTTCTTTGTTACACTTTTAGGTGAATGCTGTTAAAAAATCGTTAAGTGACACATGTCACGTGTATATATTTTTTTTATTTTTTTAAAATAATTTTTTTTTCAAAAATATTCTTTAAAAAATATGGACATGACAAGTGTCTCTTAAATGTTTTTTAATGGTATGCACCTAAAAGTACGGAGAAAACATTATATTCTTATTTTTAACGAAAATTTCTTTAGATATCAAAAAATAATTTAAAGTATAATTTATACACCTAAAAGTGTATTAAGCCTATTATTGTTATTATAATTATTAGGCTTAATGCCCAAATAAGTGCCCAAACTATACATTTTGTGCCAAATAAGTGCCTACATTTTTTGGCCCATCCGGGTACCTAACATTACAAACGTTAGCACTTTAGGTGCCCATGCCATCAACAACGTTAGTTTTTACCGTTAAGTGACATGTGTCACAACCTGATAATTTTAATTTTTTATATAAAATAAAAAAATAAAATTATATATTTTATAAAAAGAAAACATATAAATTTTGAAATAACTCCTAAACTTTGAAAACCGTCATTTCAACCCCTAAATCCACATCGACTGCCACTCTTTACTGTCGAAGAAGCTCCACCTAGCCTCCCCTCCCCCCGACGACCAAAACCCCTATGAAATCGTGACTAGTTGACGACTGATCGATGACAAATTAATGTTTTAAATCTCATGAACCTTAGGATGAAAATCACGATCCCACGTGATTCTGATGGTTAATTGGCAACAACTATGACATCATATAACTAGGATGATGATAAGGACTACGTTGGTGGCAGTGGTCGTGACTGGAGAGGGTAGCGACGGTAGATTAAGGTTAGGATTTGAGATTTTGGGGCTGTTTTATGATATAAGAAAAGTTAGGTTTTTTAATAAATATAATAATATTTTTAATATTTTTTGAAAAATAAATTTTAAAATTACCATGTTGTGACACGTGTCACTTAACGAGAAAACTAACTGTTAACTTCCTAAAAAGGCTACTTTCAAGGCCTTTTTCACTTAAGTTATTGTTTGTTTAAAAGCTCATTTTAGGCATTTTAGGATCATGTAGTTGCATATAGTTGCATTTGTGGTGGTAGTGCTATTTTATTTCTTAATGATGCTTCTTGAAGGAAAGGTGCAGTTTGTCTGTGGTGTGTAGGGAATAGCAAGCAAAAAGGACTAGATGAGAAGTAATGCCGCGGCATCACACGTTGCTGAAGCAGATTGAAATACCTTGGCATTTCTGGCGTAAAAAACGACAAAAAGATAACGCTGTACGAGGACAGCTGGCTCTGCACGTGAAATGATTGCTGTAACCGTCTGCCAGAGCTGCTATGGGACCACTGCCACCTGGAGGATAAGGTTCACACACAATGTGTGATTCTAGGGGTATGAGGGGTATTTTGCACCCAACAACCTCATCATTACCCCTAGATATTTTTATTATATATTACACCTCAAGGAAGAAAGGAAACGCATAGAGCAGGAAAAAATCAGATTTTTATTTTATTTTCCTTTTCTTCTTCCTTGGGTTTTCCTCCATTGATAAAGCTCCAAGGAGTGGCGAGCTAACTGCCGAAAGGAGCTAGTGAGCTAAGGTGGTTCGTGGTGGCCGATGAGACATCCAGTGGCTCGTCGAAGGCTACTTCTCATTTCCCTTTTTGCTACTATTTTTCTATTTATTTGTGGGCTGTTGGAACGAATATTTACATGACTTCGTGTTTGGATATTTCGAACCCCACCATGAACTAACTTATTTGGTGGTGGTTGGTTTAATGAATGTTTAGACTTTATTTTAATTGTATATTTAAGTTTATTTTGGTTTTTATTTGCTTTGCTTATGAATGCTTCACCATCTAGGCTTGTAAGAGGCATGGAAATGTCCATTTCTTAGATGAAGTTTAGGTATTCGGGAGAAACCTAAGCTACAAATACTTGTAAGTATTCGAGAGAACCGCAAAACAAGATCCTCATAAGTAATGAGTTATAATATTTTCAAGGGGCTTTGAACCAGCCTAGGGATATTATAACCTAATCCCTTAAATCTCAGGAGAGACTAGGATATGATTTCAACGACTAAAAATAGTGTCTTTATCAATAGGGTAGGCTGGCCAACATCGTTGAGTGAGAGTAGATGCCTTAACATCCTATTCTGCTAGGTTCCTTTGAGAACATTTTAGGAAAGCCTTGTCGAGCAAGTAAAGATTAGATAGCTTAAATATGCCTGAGAGATAAGTTTAGCATCCTTAGATCAGTCCCTACCATTCATTCCATTGGAAGCTTGTCACGTGAGGATTATCTTCTTTTCATTTTATTTGCTGTTTATTTATTGTTTATTTACCATCTTCCATTGCCTCGACATTGCACAATTTTCAACACTAAACATCTTATCTTACCACTGCATTTCCATCTGATACACCATCAAACCATTCATCTACATCCATCAGCATACACATTTTCATTTGCCGTGACATTTGTATATATAAAGACTAACTATACATAGATAGATTAGTGTTTAGTTTTGGTTAGACTTTTGTAATTTCACCCAATCCCTGTGGAGACGATACTCACTCTTCATTATATTACTTGAGCGAATTGTGTATACTTGCACATTATTTGCGTATATTTTATAGTACTCACACACGCGGACACTAACACCATTGACGACCCAAGCACTTAAAATACTAATATTTGTAACGTTAGGAACCAGGTAGGCCAAAAAATATAAGCACTTATTTGACACAAAATGTATAGTCTGAACACTTAATTGAACATTAAGCCTTATTATTATTCGTTCATTGTTTTGATTGACAATAAGATAATAATTATTAAATGCAACATTTGTTTTTTCAAAACAAATAATGTTTTATTCATGTTTATAGTTAACCATAATCGGATTCTTCTCTTAAATTTGACTATAACGTAGAAAATGGGCCTAGCAAAAATTAAATTAAAGAAACATATATCGAAGTTTAATTTTTGTAGATAAATAAAAATAATTTTTATTAGGCGATTAAACGCGTAATTTACCCTATTTAGTAATGCTTTTAGGCTTATTAGGCCATATTCATGGGCTGATAAATTTGAAAAATTCAATTTTACTTTTCCTCTCCCGCTTCGCGCTTCAGCAAGTGGAGTGTGCAGTAGCCAACCAAGAGAGCTTAGTTTCCTGGATTTTTGAAATTCCACTTTCCCGCGTTTCCTAGGTTACCAAACAGGGGTAAAAAGTAAACAAGTCTCTCTCATCTTCTAAATCTCACTTCAACTTTTCCATACCTTCATCATCGCCATTTGTCTCCACTTCATTCTCGTTAGTTTCTGTTTGTTTGCTTAGAAAAGGAAGGAAAAAGGAACAAAAAAGGAAAGGAAGAGGTACTTATATGGTCCTCTTTACAACGCTTGAATTTCCGTTCTTTTTACCGTTTCGTTTTTTGTAGTTATCGATTTTGAGCACGAAAACAAGGGTTTATTTAAGCATTTGAGTTTGGATTCCAAAATCACGGATTTTAGTAATGAATTTCATATTCCATACCCTGTCTACACGAATTAAATGACATTTTTTTTCATTTGATTTGCAGATGGAGTCTTTATATGCAAAGCTTTACGATAAGTATGACAAACTCAAGGTATCGCAACTCCTCTCTCCCCTAATATTTTATTTTCAATAATGATAATTTTATATTTTCACCTTTCCTCCCCTTCTTTTAAGATCTGTTGTACAATTTATTTCTCTATAAATTTGGTTACCAATAAAACTAAAGAAAAGAGCGAAATGTTTTGTTTTTCCTCGTTAACGTGGAATAAGATTCATCTGCTAGGTTTATACGATTTCTTGTTAGTTTGATTAGAATGAATTTTTTTGTTTTATTTCCTCTCCTTTTTAATCCGTTGGGATGCAAATCTAGCTTTATATCTGCTCTTTTATTAAGATTTTGGTTTTCGTTTCTTTTTTCAGAAGAGAAAACTGTCTGAAATGGATGATATACATAGAGATCAAGAAGAAAAATTCTTAAATTATGTGCGTGGTGAGTATATTTACATGTTATAGTTACTATTTTTTAATCTCTGTCTTCATATTTAATGTGAATCACAAAGCCTTCTCTTCGTTTTTGTTTTCTCTGGTGTTTATTGTGCGTATATCATGGAAATATAACTATCATTTGCTTTCTCTCGTTACAGCTGCAGAGGAGTTGATACAGCACTTGAGGAGTGAAAATGACAAATTAAATGCTGAAGTTACTGAATTGAGAAGTGAAGTGGCCTCTATAATGTAAGTAAATTTAATTCACTGATGGCCTTTACATGCTAGGATGCCAGTGCCTGCTTTCTTGACCTTTTGCATGAATATAATATTGCAGGTCCAGCAAGGACAAGCAATGTGTAGACTACCAAAAGCTTTTGATTGAAGAGAGCCAGAAGCGTAAGTAGCGATCAGTTACTAACATCAACATCCTCAACTTTCTTAGCATTCTTCTTGCTTTATCTTTGTTTAATATGCTACTGCAAGGAAACTGGCATAAATTGATGCTGAGAGTGTTAGCTATGCTGGGTAAGAACAAGAAAATAACTTGTTAGTTTAAAGGACTAAAGCACCCTGTATTATGCTTTTGAGTTTTGATTAAAGAATTGGATTTCTATGCTCAAGTTCTTGATTGAGTAGAACATGGATTTAGGGTTTTAGGTCTATCATTAACTTTGAAGTTGGTAGTTAGGTTTTTTGTATTGTTCCAAAGTCTGTTCAGGTTTTCCCCTTCCCCTCTCAGTATAACTTTGGAGGGTTAAATCAAAGTTTTGATGGTTTCATGCTTATGATCAAATTGAATATTCAAAATTGTCTTCATCTCCATTTTTATCTTCAATTTGTACGTGACGTCTTTGAAATTTTAACAAGTTAAATTTGCAGGCACCGGTAATTATTGGCTGAATATATATATATATATAAATTTGAGACAATTTGTACCTTTCTGGGGAAGAAGGATCGAATTTGAAACTTCTTTGTAGACTTGCCTTTGTTATATGCTTTAACTTTCTATTGGCATGTCCATAGCCTTTTTTTTCCTTACCAAAAGCTAAAAATTTATCGCAGGTAAAGCGCTTTCTGAAGAAGTTACGAGACCGCAAAACCTGCATCGAAAGGGACATGTTAAGGGTGGCAATAGAGGTAATGTACCAACAGTCTCTCCAGGAAGTGTACATGTTGCGGCAGAAAGGGTTTCTGGTAACTCCACTAGAATGATGACAAGAAAGCGTAGCAGGAAATCAACCGCTAAGACAGAAGACAGCATTGTTACTCCTAATTCGGCTAATGGTAAAGTTACTGCATCATGTGCATTGACCGAATACCTTCCTGAGAAAGCTTTGTCATGTGAGGTTCTTCCAAATGTTCAGCTGGTATATCTCCAATTAATCATCTCTTTACTCAAAAGACGTGAGTTTTTACATCTTTACTGACCATTTGGATGATTATGCAGCCAGAATGCTGTAAAGGCGTAAATGCAAATGCCACTGATCATGGAACTTGTTTGTTTCAAGTTCTTATTGAATGCTTAGTGGGCATGAAAGTGTCCTCCATTAATCAAACTGATGGACTACGCATTTCAGCTCTGCATCAATCAAGTGGTAATTCTTAACTTGAGAATCATAGCCATTTCATTCAATTTTGAGTATTTCCATCTTTCTTTTGGTCCTAGTTCCCGGTATTTCCCCTGTAAAGTCGGTATGTTATTGATTTGTTGTATCTCATTGTTTGAAGCATGTTTATGGTGCATCTTGGTTTTCTTTATCCATGTTTGACATTTGCGTTCGACATCCATTTGGACATGGAAAGAGACTATAATCATAAAAAAAGCATGAAAAGAAGTTAAACATACATATGTAACATGAACCGACGTAGAGTTTTAATGAATACATTATACATCCATAAGTACTTTATGTTTCTGATACGTCATAAATATTCAACAATTAGCTGCAGCGTACAAGAAACAGACTTTCATTATTTGATACTGGATAAATGGAACAGGTTACTCGTTCAGCCTAACGTGGATAAACAGAACGGGCATAGAGGAAGCCGAGCTGGTGTACCGGGTATCGTCGTTAGGGACATTCGAGAGAGTGGCACCGGAGTGGATGAGGGATGTCATTATGTTCAGCACAAATATGTGCCCCGTTTTCTTTGATAGATTATCTCGTGTTATCAAGTTGCATTGTTAACTGGTAAACTTTCTCCCCTCTATTTGGTCTTTGATGAGGTGTGAAGTAAATATGTATGACATTGGTGATAACAAATAGAATTGTGTTTATGTTTCTATTTTTTTTATCTTTTTGTGTTTGACCGTAAGTTTATTTGTTTAAGATATTAAATTATAAGGAATATATTACTTAAATTTTATTTTGTTTTGAATTAATATATATTTAAAATGTTTAGTACCTATATTGACTTGCAGATTAATTTACAATAGTTATATTGAACAACTAATGTAACTGGCAAAGAATGCTAGAAAAGAGAAGCCAAATTGCAGCACCCTAGATGAGGTTGTCCCCAGAAGTTGCAGGTTCTAATTGCATACAAATAATATAACATCAAAAACACGAGTCCGAGTTTCGACCATTCACAGTTGAATCATCTGTTTGATCAAATTTGAATGATCTGATCTCTCATTACTCTCTTCATTTGAACAAGCAGAGATTTCTAAATAAACAACTGTACATTGCATTCCAAAGTTCACAAAGCTTTAACATCATTATTCATTACACCCCCAAATTATCAGTAATTTGGGTTCCTTTTGATGACAAAATCCTTTTCATTTCATTTGATAAAATGAAAGGTAAAAAAGAAAAAAAAAAGTCTGATGTCCTACCATAGTTTTACTTCCTACAACTCCAAGCCGATACCGAGAACAGCGGTCGGTCTTGCCAGCAAATCACGATGCAACCACCGTTTTCTTCCTTCATTTTATACCCGTCGCAGTTATACCCCTGCAGCAATCTCCTGGCGTGCAACATCCCGTAGTAACTCAAAGGGATGTTCCCGAAACCGGCCAAGTTGAGCTTTTGTATCCACTTCTCGAGCTTTTCGTGTCTCTCCTTCCGCTCGGCTCCCTCACATGCTATTATGTTTTTTATTTCCTCTCCGAAAAGCATCTTTTCCACCTTAAATCTCTCCAGAGATGTTCTCGAGGCCGTGGACTCCGAACAATCGAACAATGCTGCATAAGAGTAAAGGGATTCTAATAGTCTCCCCATTAGAGTAGATCCATTATGGTCAGAATCTTGTTCTGTTACCACCATCAGTTTCGGTGACAAACCCCACAATGCATTAAGGAAGCTATCTACCTTGGCCAAACCGGATGAAGATAATGGTGACGATGATGCCGAATCAGGACTAGGGCTATATCCATTAACCGTGTCTTTTCCGAGCAACTCTCCTAAAGTGCTCTGGTTCATCTGGAGTGCTATTTGCAAGTGAACTCCATTCAAATTCTTCGATCCTAGAGGCATTTTCTTTCGATGGTGTTCATCATCAGAGGCCAAAAACGAATGCAGCTGGAGAACAGAGCTGATTGCAAGAGCCTCCCCGGTTTTAACCCGCAATTTCTCGACGTCCAGATTTTCTAATTTGCTAACAACCGGATTGAACTGAAAAGGGAGGTTCAATTTTTCGGCTTCTTCAGTCAATCTATGAGCCATTTGATCCAACACTTCTTTCCTTTGATGAATGCCGGTAATCCTCAAATGAGGCGGCCCTTCGGGCCTTGCACTCAAAGCTTGAATAAGCGCAACCCACTGCGCAGGATTGGCTGCATTAAGATCAATTATATGAACCATTTTTTCGCCTTCCATAGCTTCGATCACGGCTTGGTTCGTAAGCACGAAGGCCACCTTCAAGAAGGGGAACAACTCGAAAAACAGTTTTCGAACAAGGATTTCTTCGGAAACCAAAGTTATCCTAGTCGAATTGAGAGCCTTATGAAGACCAGGCCAGGCTTTGAGGATCCTATCGGCGAGCGCCTCCGTAAAATAAGTAGCCATTCGCTGCATCGTGTCACCGTCTGGCGACGCGAGCTGCGATATCTGCTCGAGTGCAATGTTGGCATTTTCAAGGCTACCATTCGCTACATGATTAGCACAATTGAGCAACAAATGGATCAAATATAAACCCCTTTCTTCTGATTTCAACTCTCTAAGCCATGGATATGGTGATCCCAAGTTTGGCGAGAGTGACATCATGGAGAAAACTTGCAGAGGCGATGATGATGTTACAGACGATGATTCGTCTTGGAACATTGCACGAAAAGTTCTGGTCTTTTAATCTAAAGACCATACATAGTTTCAAACTTTCATGCAAAGATTGAGATTTTGCATGTAGATGAAATTCACCAGAAGAAAGGTTAAAAAGTTGGCAAATTTAACCAAAAACAACTCCAGATTCAGAGTAATCTTTAAGCCAACTGAAAATTCAGAAACAAAGACAACCCCAATTGTCCTTTAGACAAGCTCATGGAAGTATCACCAAATTCAAACATAAAACTCAGTAACAACAGAAGAAATAAGAAATTCTTACTGGGTTTTGCAATTCATCAAAAATCCAAAAACCAAAACACATAAAAGTTTCCAAGATTGAATTCTGTGATTCAAGCAAAGAATGAACAAAAATGCTATTTTTCCCAATAGAAAGAGAGTAAAAGGAAAGGGTTTCAAAAAGAAGAGAAAAGGGGGGGGGGAAATGGTATTAGGTCATGCGTGAAGGAAAGCATTGTCCTTTTATGATTTGTTGTCGTTCCCTCTCAGTGGAATATGGAATTTTCTGAGTAAAGCTTGTCTTTTACTTTCCCTCAAGTTTCAAATTAACTCAAACCCCCCCCCCCCCAAAGCTTTAATCTTTAATGGGTTTTCTTTGTCTTTGCATTAGTGTTTGGTTTGGCATCTTCTCTCAAAGACCCTGCCTTTTTAACAGATTCCCAAAGGGAAGAAACAGCCAAACATGCCCTAACAAAGACACACCAAAGAATGTGCTCTTCCCCTCTTCAGTTTTGTTTCCTAGTGGTTTTTTTCCCAAAGTGTGAAGGCTCAGCTGTCCTTAAATGGTTTTAGTTTTTGTTGGGCACAAGGTTCTAAACCTTGAGGTTGTGGGATCAAGTCCCACGGAGGGCATTTCATAATTTGGAGGTCTCCTACGGAAGCTGCTCTCAACCTGGTGTTGGGGGCAGCCTACTATCTTACCTCCCCCTTACCCCATACATATGGGAAAAAAGGGACATCCATTTTTTTTTATATAAAGATTGCTTATGAAGATTGTTCAATTATGTATTTATTTATTTATATATGTATTATATTTTATCTTTATTTTTAATTTCCTTGATTGCCGAAGGTCTTCTACGAAAGTTACTCTCAATCTGACGTTAAAACCAGTCTACTACACTAACTCCCCTTATCATATTACATTTGGGAATAAAATTTTGTTGTTGTTGTTTCTTCTTTGGTATATATATTAAGCAGATAGACAAGTGAGCCAAGCTATCTTCCAACACTATAATATACTACATTTATCTTTACTTGTTGGGATTTGTTCTTAGCTCAAAACCCATAATTATATCTTCACTTTGCTTTTAGATATAATTAGAAATCGTATATTTAGGGATCAATACAATATTTTGCCATGAATATAAATCTTTAAAAAAAATTATATTATAAACTTGGGTGATGTGAAATTATAAAATTTTAAAAAATATAAAATTATATTATTAATAAAAAATATAAAACAATATCTAAATTATATATGAATTTAAGTTTTATAAGATGTACGATCATTCCCAACACTCTCCTAATCCAATCTTATTTATATTATATTTATGTTTCATATATAAATACAATAAAATTGGCATACTCATATTTGTGTTAAATCTTTAAATTAATTTTTAATATAATATTTAGTTCCATAAATATAATCCATATAATAACACCAAAAATTAGGAATAATAATGACTCAGGTCAAACTAGATTTTTAATCTTATTCGAGTTTAGAAAAATTTCATTCGACTCAAATATAAGAATGAGAATTTTTATTTGATAAAATAAGTATCTGATTTAAAAAATATGGAGAGAGAAATATTTGGAGTAGCAGATATCCTAAATATATAGGGAAAATTATACTATTATCTCAACTCAGGTCGGTTGTTTTTCACCTTAACCCTGTTCAACTTGAACTTGATTTCTTTTAAAAAAAAAATCTATATTATAAAATCAAATAGAATAAAAACTTATTAAATTTGAGTCTAAATACCGTCCTTAATTAAAATCCATAGATATAAAGAAATGAGAATGGTGTTTATTTATTTATGGCAGAGAGTTGGTGTAGTATGACATGATGAAATGTTAATTTCTTAACAACACTTCGAGGAATTAGAGGCAGCTTAGGGCTTTTCGTGTTCAGCCATTTAACCTCACAATTTGAGCTTCCTCGTCTCCTAAATTAGTTGATACCAATCTTTTGAACCAATTTACTCTACTCTTTTCACCTACCAACATTATTCAACCATCTTTTATTTGTAAATTTTATGTTGCAACCGTTCAAACTGATATTTTATATAAATTTACTTATATTTTATTTACTAATTCATTAATCCATACCAAATATTATAAAAATATGTTATAAAAAATTAACTGACCCTTATTCCCATATGTAATGGGTAAGGGGGAGGTAGGATAGTAGGCTGCCCCAAACGCTAGGTTGAGAGCAGCTTCCGTAGGAGACCTCCGAATTATGAAATGCCCTCCGTGGGACTCGATCCCACGACCCCAAGATTAAAAGCCTTATGCTCTACCAAATGAGCTGGATGGTCATTTCATAGAGAAAGTGATATAAATGTTGTCTTAAAATTGGAAGTTCAACCTTGTTTTGATGAGGCCTACAATACCCATGTGAAGAGCACTTTAGGTGTTTAATTTTTTTTTTTGAATTATTCAGGTGCTTAATGTTATAAATATTATCACTTTAGGTGTTTGGGCTGTAGCTGCCGTTAATTTTTTCCGTTAAGTAACACGTGTCGCCTTCAGGAAATTTTGAAAAATCTGTTTAAAAAAAGTTTAAAATATATTTAAAAGAACCCAAAAATTTTCAATTTTTTTAAAACTTCCCATAAACTTTGAAAACCCTAAATCTAGTCCATATACCAATGCCCGTTCCCGCCTGCTGTCATCGTTGTCGTCAATCGAACTTCCACCTAGTTGTGCCTCCAACAACGACCAGTTACTCGATGAACAACCACCATAATAGCAATTGAAAATCCCTAAATCGCTATGAAAACTACCCTGACGCCAATCTTTGAATGGGACTCCATCACGACCATCGCAAAGACCATCACGACTCCACAACAAGGACGATATTGTCCGACTAGGGAGATGACTAGGACGATGTCAGCGGCGATGATCGTGGCCAGAAAGAGAGGTAGGGTTAGGGTTATTGATTGGAGAATTTTAGAGAGTTAGAGCTTTTTTCATATTTTTTTTAAAAATAAGGTTTTTTATAAATATAATAATTTTTTATTTTTTTAAAAAAATATTTCAAAATTACCAAAGCGTGACATATTCTATTAACAAAATTTTTTAACGGTTGTTACGTCTCGGACACCTAAAATGATATTTTTGTAATGTTAGCGCCTAGATGATTCAAAAAAAAGTTTGGACATATATTTGAAATTAACAATATAGTTTGGGCACTTATTTTATAGTTAAGACTTAATTTTTGTTTATTTTATTTTTGTTTTCATTTAGGTGTAAAATTTTATTTTTATTTTATTGAATAGTCTCAAATCAATGTTAAGAGATAATGTTATCGAATAGTTGTATTTGTAGAGTGTGTACATTTTTAGTGGCTAAAATAGATAATACTTTGTAATCACTCTAAACTAATTAAAAATTAATTTTATGTTTGGTTTATAATTTTTTTTCATGTGATACTGATATGTTATTAAAAAATGTTAATTATTTATAAAATATAATTAAAATATCATTTTTTGCTTATTTCACTAATAATAAATAAATAAAAAAATGTTAATTACTCTTTTTTTTGTATATTTAATATTGACCTGTTGATTTTTTAAAAAATATGACGTGTCAAGGAAATGTTGATTTATTTGATTTATTTGTTGATTTATTTAAATTAATATCAAAAAGTTATTTTTGATACTTTATCTAATATTTTATCATGTTAGATCAAATGGCTAATACTAAAATAGGAAAAAGCAGTCCATAAGTAGTGATGTACGCAAAATTTTATATAAAAAGACGAATTTAATTTATAAAATTTTAGGGGAGAGAAAATAGATTATGAACAAAAATTTTTAAAATATAAGAGAAATTAAAATTTTCAGGAGATGACTCTCCCCATACGACCCTCTTGGTCCATCCCTGCCCACGAGATTTGAAATTTGTAGTGGAAGTTTCGTAAGGTGTAAATTGGAATGGAGGAAAAAACAATGGTGAGAATTGAAAAGTGACAAAAAAGGTGGCATTGCCGTCTCTATAAATTGAGTTCTCTTGAATTCTAAAGAGAACGTAAACTATATATTTAGTATCTAAACTATTAATTTTAGTCCCTTTTAGACCTAAACTTTCATTTTTTTTCAAAATCCTACCTAATACTTAGTTTTTATCCGTTTAGTACCATGCTGTTAAAAACTTAATGCGTTTAGTATATAAACTGTCAGTTTTAATCCGTTTTAGTACCTAAACTTTCAATCTTCTTAAAAACTTAACGTTAAATTTGAACGGGATTCTAAAATGAAACAGAAACTAATTTTTAGATATGATTTTAAAAAAAATGAAAGTTTATGTACTAAAATAGTCTAAATTTAATAATTTAGGTACTAAATATGTAATATATCAAAATAAATTATATAATTTTGTTGGAACATATGTTTGGCTTGTTTCGGTTCACCTTCAATGTTTGTCTTTGTGCTACCACCACCACATCACAGCTTCGGACAAAACTAAAATTAATTTTTCATTAATTTCAATTGAACTGCAAGTGACTCACATGATAATTGCTTTGGAAATTCTCACGTGCGACACTTTTAATATACGATTAAGAAAAGACATTATTAATTTTGTTATTTTTAAATAATTAAAAATATTATTATTTCTATCGGTTTTGTTATTATTGGGTGTTTTACCGGTTTTGTTAAATATCCGGTAAAACGCTATCGGTTTTGTTATTTTTCTACCGGTTTTGTTATTATTGGGCACTTTACCGGATTTATTAAAAAATATTAACGTTTAGGTAAAAATAATAATATTTTAGGTATTTTATTTACTAATTTTATTAAAAAAATAATAAAACTAATAATACATTTTTTTAACCGTATATTAAGAGTGATGTAACTATAGAACTTCCCTGATTATTTACGTATGTGTCAGGTACATATCATATTAATAATAAATTTTTTATTATGATTTTATTTTAAAAGAAGTCAGATGAGTTTTAAGCTAGATATAAAGCGGATATTAGATTGTATTTAGAATATAAAATAATAAATTGTAAAATTTGATGTATAACAGTCTTCGAGAATTAAAACCGATGTTGATTGATAATGACCGATAATAACGACAATGAATGATGGCTGCGACATAAGATTTTGATTGAATTTAAAAGTTAAATTAATATTTTATCTAAAATTTAAAATTAAAATGATCTTTCATTATTAAAGATCATTTATACATATGAGTGCAGAAAGATACTGGGAACAGGAATGGGATACTTTGAATGGTCCAGGCCAGCTAAGTAAAAAGGAAAGGGGTGGCTCCAACTCATAAGCATGTGGTTAAGCTGTCCCATTAGGGTGTGTCGGAATCAAAAGTTTTCCTACGACCAAAGCTTGGTTCTGTTTTGCACTGCTCCAGACATCAAATCTGTCCATGGTTTGGTCTGCAATATGATTGAAACAAACCAGGAAAGTTTGATTTGCCAGCACAATCTTCGTGCTGCTTGGTTTTCTTCATGTTGAAGGACGACAAATAGATTTTTATTCTCTTCAAACATGTTCCGAAACAATGAATGAGATCAAATGAGATGGGAAAGGAGATATTTGGACATGATGGGTCGATTCGATTGGATTATTTTAGAGTGCACAGCCGGGCGTGGTGATGCCCATGCAGTTTCGTGCATTTTATGTGCCTCTGCAGCCATCACAATGTGACAACAAAATTTTATGTTTGGATTTTCCCTGTAAGCTTTTGAGTTACGGAGCACACACACGAGTACGATAAGATATTGTTGTATCTCTTTCGGATCTCTTTTAGAAATCGTACTTTCATTGTCATTCATGTACCTATTGAGCGTTGAGGTCTTAAAAATTTCTCAAAGGTTTCAAAGTTTAGATAGAGTTCCTCTTGACTTCTAAAATTGTGTCCTTCGAATAGATACGACCCTTTGACGTAATCTCTGAAAAATTCACCTAGTCTACAATCTAATATATGATAGTCAAATCTATTTTGTTTGTCAACCAATAAATCATCATCATCATCATCCTAAGTCTGGCACAAGCACTAAAAGTCGATATATATGTCACTATACAAGGCTGAAGTCTCTCTGGAGCTCCCTCTCTATATCTTTCTTTGGACGATTGTTCATCACCTTCATCAGCTCGACCACCCTCTTTCTCTCTTTTATGAAACAAGCTATTGTCATTCCCTACCCAAATCAAAAAAGATAAACTGTTGATAACACCACAATCTCAAATTTTCCATCGACATATAAAAATATAGTAATATGATAAATTTTTAAAAAAATGAATAACATGAAACATAATCTCCCAAGCAAACAATGGGGTGACCCCAATATCACTTATATTGCTAGCAATATACAAAAGATTGATTTACCTAGACATTTATTTCCCCAAATTTTTCCATGCATACTATTCTTGTGCGATATTGATTGAGGTTTTCGTAAAAGGTTCTTGGCATATTATTTTCGTGTTTTATAATGACTTAAAAGCAATTACGAATATTCAACGTTCAGAGAACTTCAGAAAACACCAGGAGAATATCTTCAGAAAAAAGATATTGAATATCTAACATCCCTCGAGAAGTCGTGACTTGTTGAAATGACTATCGACAAGTCAGGTGACATACTAGAACTAAATCTATAGTCAACTTAATATATCCACCTAACCTGCCAGCTTATTGGTAGTTATAATGTCCCTACGCCTGACGCTAACTCCAACAGTCAATATAAAACGTTTCGATCAAAATCGAGAGAAAAGATGGAACCCAAATGAAATCATCTCACCGTCATTCATCTCTCTTCTACCTCCTTATAGAAATAGGATATTTAACACCAACCAAATATCAATCTATCACCCATCACCTAAAGTAAAAATGTTCAACAAAGTACAACCGCCGCAACCCTTTCATTCCCATTAACAAACATCAGATACAAAGCACTTGAGATACAAAGCGAGATTTCCATAATCCTGGCAAAGGAAAAGCTTGGTCGGTAGCTCTTACACTAGCCTCAAACGGTACAAACATCTCATTCTCTCAATGCAAATTGTCAGCAAACATCATACAGAGATACTGATTAAAAATAGAAGATCCGTTCACATTCACTGAATGCAAGATAATAGCAACTCAGAACGCTTTTCATATTTGAAGCAAGTATAGCTTGCAACAAAGTATCACCTATAACCAACATGACGCAGAGTGCGATGCATCGAACTGAAGCAAAATAACCTAAGAGTAATGCTAATTTCTTGAACCAGAACAATATGAAAAGTCGAATGGAAAATTAGGAAATCAACAACGAATGCAGAATAGCTAAAGAGAGGAAGGTGTACAACCCTATTACTTTGTGTGCTAGTTGTTTTTTTTTTTTTTTTAGTTTTTTAAGTTGTTAGGAGACGAACTTTTAAATTTTTAAAGGAAAACTAAGGACTAAAAACATATTATCAACAGAAAATACAAAATAAAATCTAATATATAACAATTGAAAGTTTTCATGCCTATTGTATTCTTCAAATTTTAGTAGTAACGAGAAGCAAATTTTCAAGGAAACAGATTATCCAGAAGTTCACTGGGGCAGGAGATGTTACACCTGAGTTTTAGAACAAACAACATTTAGAATTAAAAAGTAATTCACCACTTATTAACTCGACGAAAGTATATCAACTCTTAGGGGTCAGAGGGTATACAATTCAAAATTCATGGTCATCACAAATCAAAATCTTCAATTTAAAAGCTTACATATGGTCACCTAGTATTACAGTATCCATACTCTAAGATAGGAATCGATACTTGCTATGTATCATTAATATTTTTTGACATGATATCAAAAATAGTCTCAAATGTTTATCAAAATAGTCATTTTTGTCCCTTTTTTCTTTGGAGCGTTTTGGCCTCCAAAGTTTCATTTTAGGGCAAAAAGCTCCATCTATAGATGAAAATCATTAGTTAACATACGATTAATGCTAAAAAACATGAGCTTTTTTAACCTAAAATGAAATATTGAGAGTTAAAATGCCACAAAAATAAAAGAATAAATGCCAAAGTGATTATTTTGTCAAAAGTTAAGTTTATTTTACCATAAAATAAAATTTTAAGGGAACTGCCAAATCTCAGTTTTCAGGTTCATCCAACAGATTTGATTTACTCAATTCTGCTGAAGAGAATCCTAACTGTTCAGAAATTCAAAGAAAACCTAGGCCAACTTCTTTGGGAGTGGCAAGCTTAGTGAAAGAACTAAAATCAAAAAAAGAAGGTTTAGCTTGAGATAGCTAAAGTGATCACTGCTGGAGGTCAAGGGGGTTCTTTGGGATCGCCTTCTCAATGATAGTTAGTTTTTGGAACATTAGAGGACTTAACAGTCCTCTAAAGCAGAAAGAAGTGGTTATTCGAGCCACCCGAAACAATGTTGACGTCCTTTGTTTATTGGAGACTAGAGTGAAGATGGACAAAGCAGAGACTATTTGTGCTTCTAAATTCCAGAACTGGAATTTCTGTTTCAATTATCACCATGCTAGCAATGGTAGAATTTGGGTTCTTTGGAGGAAGGGCATTAATCTTTCTGTCATTCAAAATTCTGATCAATGCATTACACTCAGAGGTTCTCACCAAGGTACTCCTATGTTTATTTCGACTATTTATGGTAGTAATGATGGTATTGCTAGAAGACAACTTTGGCAGACCTTAAGAGAAGTTGATCATATTGTTAATAAGTCAGCATGGATTTTAGGAGGGGATTTTAATATTATCTTGCACTCCCATGAAAGTACTGACCATGAAGTCCTTGGCCATTATCTCACTTCTGATATGAAAGACTTCCAAGACTTAGCTCAAGAGCTTGAAATCCATGACCACCCTTACTTTGGCCCTTCATTCACTTGGTCCAATAAGCAAAAAGAATTCTTTCTTGCAAGGAAACTTGACAGGGTCATGATAAACTCTAATTGAGCTTCTATTTTCCAGCACTCTTTTGTTGAGTTCATGGCACCAGGAGTCTCAGACCATTGCATGTCTCTAACATGGCTAGTCAAAGAAGTTCCTGCTAATAGGCCAAAGCCGTTCAAATTCTTCAATTTTTGGGCTACTCATCCAAGCTTCATAAATGTAGTAAGTCATTCATGGTCCCAACCTGCTCATGGCGATCCTATGCAAATTCTCCTTACTAAACTTAAAAGACTCAAAGTATGTCTTAAGTGTTCTAATAAGGAAAATTATAGCAATCTCTCTGATCGAATCAAGCTTAAAAGAATAGAGTTGGAACATCAACAACTACTCACTTTAAAGGGACATGACACAATCGATAAGGAACTATTATTACAAAAAGAGCTGAATACTTTGGAAGATTCTGAAGTTGCGTTCCTTAAGCAAAAGGCAAAAGTGCAGTTGATTAAAGATGGAGATAAAAATTCCAGATTTTTCTATTCGATGATTTCTTTTAAAAACAAAAGGGATACTGTCCGAGTTCTTGTGGATGATCAAGGCAATAGATTGGAGTCCTTTGAAACAATGTCAAAAGAAGTAATCTCATTCTTTTCCAATCTGATTAGAACAACTGACAACCTAGTCAAAGATATCGATCCTATTCTTCTCAAAGACCTTTTCAACTATTCATTGACATATGAAGCTTCTTCTAGCCTTGTTAAGGATATTACTCGAGAAAAAATCCAGAAAGCAGTTTTCTGCCAAGGTAATGATAAAGCTTCTGGACCCGACGGTTTCGCCCCTTTCTTCTTCAAGAACTCTTGGAATATAGTGGGTGAGGATGTTGTAGCTGCTATTAAATTCTTATTTCTCAATGCTAAAATTCACCATGCTTTTAACTCTACTATTATTGCTCTTGTTCCTAAAGTTCCAAATCCGAGTGCAGTTAAAGACTATCGGCCTATCTCTTGTTGTTCTGTTATCAACAAAATCATTACCAAAATCATCGTTAGAAGATTGACTGATGTTCTCCCAGAGATTATTACTTTGAATCAAACAACTTTCATCAGAGGAAGGAGCATTATAGATAATACCCTCCTTGCACAGGAGATGGTTAAAGGCTATGCAAGGAAATCCATTTCCCCGAGATGCGCTCTGAAGATCGACCTTCATAAAGCTTTTGATTCCATTCACTGGGGATTCATCATTCAAATTCTTAAAGCTCTCAATCTCCCTATTGCTTTCAATGCTTGGATCGAAGCTTGTTTCACAGGAGCAAGGTACTCCATTTCTTTTAATGGTACCTTAATCGGCTATTTTAAAGGAGTTAGAGGCCTAAGGCAGAGAGACCCTTTATCCCCCTACCTTTTTGTTCTTGCAATGAATATTTTATCCATAATGCTAAATTTAGTTGCCGAAAGAGGAATGCTTGGCTTCCATCTAAAGTGTAGGAAAATTGGTCTTACTCATCTCTCGTTTGCTGACGATTTATTGATCTTTTGCAAAGGTAATGTTGACTATGTTGTTGGTGTTCTCACTACTCTTGACCAATTCTATGATGTCTTTGGGCTCAAGCTGAATCCTGCCAAATGTGAGATTTTTGCTGCGGGGATTCATCCAAGAATCATGGAGAATTTAAAAATTATTACAGGGTTTAAAATTGGAAATCTCCCTGTTCATTATCTTGGTATTCCTCTTGTCACCCGTAAACTTACTGAAAAGGATTGCCAAGCTTTAATCGACAATATCAAGCTCAAACTTCATCACTGGTCTAACAGAAATCTCAGTTATGCAGGCCGATTAGAGCTCATCAGATCAGTCTTATTCAATGTCAGCAGCTACTGGTGCAGACAACTTGTTCTACCAGCTTCCATTCTTAAAAAAGTGGATCAGATTTGCTCCAGGTACTTCTGGAAAGGAGCAGATAAATCTGCTGCTGGTGCTCGTGTGAGTTGGGATAAAATTTGTATTTCCAAATCAGAAGGTGGCCTCGGATTGAAGAACATTAAAACTTGGAACAAAGCTTGTCTCATTATCCTCATCCGGAAAATATTAGCAGGAGACGGATCCCTGTGGGTAGCGTGGCTTAAGGCATATGTCTTTAAGGAGCAGGATTTTTGGCACTATCAAGCAGCAACTAACTTAAGTTGGACCATCAACAGGATCTTAAAATCAAGAGTTGAAGCTCTTCCATTCCTTTCCACCGGTTCTCCGCAAGCTAATGAAATTTGGGACTTGATTCGTTGCAAAGGGCAGACTGTTATATGGCACAAACTCATTTGGTTCCCATTCCTAAGTTCATCTTAATTGCTTGGATGGCTCTGCTCAACAAATTGCCTATAAGAGACATACTTCTTAAAATGGGAATTACCACCGACAGTATTTGCGTTAATTGCAGTACCTCTTATGAATCAAGAGACCATCTCTTTTCACAATGTACAATGGCAGTGGAACTCTGGAATTCAATTCTGAAACTTAATAGGGTGAATACCATTTTCTTATCATGGGATGAAATGGTCATAAAGGCTTGTTCATTATGGAAAGGGAAGTCTTTGCTCAGCACCATTCTGAAAATTTCATGGACTGTTGTTATTTACACTTTGTGGCAGGAAAGAAATCAGAGAAATTTTCAAGGAAGGAGTAGAACGACCGCCTGCCTGCTAAAGGAGGTTAAAGAAGTTACTGGAATCCGTCTTAGGGGAACTAATATTAATAGACTTGATAGTACTAACTTACGGCTTTGTAGCGTTTGGGGTATAGTATAACCAATCATTTTGAGTTGGTTGTTTTGATTATTTGTTATTGATTGGTTGTATCTTTAATTTTGCATTGGGTAATAAAATAAGAATTATCCAAAAACAAAAACAAAAAACAAAAAAACTAAACATCACCAAAGCATATTTATTAGCTAGGTTATCATGAAGTGAAATTAATGAACCTAATCTTTTATATGCAAACAATGCTACAAGATCCCTTAAATTTATTTCAAGCAATACTATCACCTCAAACAAGATCCCATCTGCCTTCGTTGTCTCGAAGAACGCCACCACTGACAGCTGTCGTAGAGTCAGGATTGACAGCACCATCTGTGTTCACCTTCAAGACACCGGAGGGAGGCCCATTGCTTTATGTGTCTATGGACAGTTTTACAGGACTTCATGGCAGCACGGTTTCGCAACACTTTCGCCAAGGAGACGGCCGAGCGAATAACTTCCGATATGAAGCCCAAACACCATGTAGGCATATCTTCACCCGCCGAGTCACGAGGAGGAGGAACCGCCATGATCCTCTGGATGGTAATATCATCAAGGAGGTGTTTCATGCGTTGAAAGTTCCAGCTCCCATAAGAGGAAATATAGTCTCGCATAGTGGCACTCTCATCAAAAGACACATTCGGTGAAAGGGTCTCCACCAAGGGTTTAGTGCCAGGTATCCAAGAGTCGGTCCAAAAGTGCGTTTTCCTACCATCTCTCAGGAACCATCAGACATTATCCCAAATGAAGTTCCAAATCCGACCAAGGGACTTCTAGACATAGGAACTGATAGTGGTGATGTGTGTCGGACGTTGATCCCTAACTTCATATTTCGATCGAAGCACCTGAACCCAGAGAGCATCCTGTTTAATTAAAAAAAAATATCTCATCTTAGTGAGGTAAGCATCGTTTTGGGTACGGATCGACCGGATACCCAAACCACCACTTAATTACCGTTGACAACATTGTTTCCACTTGGCAAGTGTCATATTATGCTTTTCACCCCAAATAAAATGACGGGCCATTTGCTCAATGTTGTCACATATGCCACGTGGAATTGCCACCGTTTGCATAAAGTCATTTAGAAAAGGTTAGGATTTTAGACTATAAAATCAAAAAAAAAAATCAAGAGGGGTGAATTGAATTTTTGAAAACTTCGGGAATTGAGGAGAAAAGATAGGAAAATTTGTATAAAAATTTATAGTAATTCAATTTTTTTAATGAAGTTTACATCTACTAGACCTGATAAATTTGACTCGTACCCGATTATCCTAACTGATTTACTCAATCCGAGAATCAATATAGACCTGAACATAATGATCTAAAATTGATCCGAGACCCTAAATAAACTGAATCAAATCGAAATCGACCCGAATTTTAGGTGGACCGAAAGCAAACTGAATCAAAATCAACCCGAACCGAAAGTAACTCAAACTGAAATAACCATAACCGAAAATAACCCGAATCAAAAGTAACCCGAATATGATTTATCCATATCCAAATCGAACCGAACTTCGCCCCGATTTTAACCTGATCATTGATTCTAAGTAAATGAATCATTTATTTATATTATCATCATCATCATCATCATCATCATCATCATCATCATCATCATCATCATCATCATCATCATCATCATCATCATCATCATCATCATCATCATCTACTTTTGGCATTGAAAATGGTAAAATGATTGAATATTTATTCTCATTTTATTTTATACTACTAGTAATCATCACATGAGATCAAATGATAATACTTCTAGTAATAATTTAATGGTTTAATATAATTTTTCTTTAGTTAAAAAATTATTTTTATATATGATGCAATAACTTCTAAATTATTTCAAAATATTATTTGATATGAATGATTATAAATTAAAATTACTCAAACAAAAATTCTAATTTATGTGATAACTTTTATTCACATTATTTAGACGATTAACTATAGTTAACTTTAATAGAAAATAAATTTTAAATATAAGTGTTAAATAAAGAGCTCTCTTTCAAAACTGATATGAAAATATAAACCAAGTCAAATATTAACACTCAATTATTCTTGTATGTTAAACACAGTTATATATTTTTTAAAATAATTTCTTAAAACTTAAAAAAATTGTCTCACAAAATTAAACTGAAGTATTCAACCATATTAAATCTTATAATATTAATAAACACAAGTAACATATGCATCAACTATTAAACTTTGTTGTAGTTCAATCCATATTAAAGCCAAAAAACTCATCATCTTTCGTAGCTGCATAAAAAACAACAAAACAATTATTAATTTATTTAAATTATTAGTGAAAGAGGAAATTAAGCAATGTGTTGAAAACATTTTTGTATTTCGATATAACAAATTAGTTTAAATAAATTTTAAGATTTTACAAATGATTTTCTAAATATATTTGGTTCAATTAATCAAATATCAAATTATTACTCCAAGTCTTTTAAGATCAATTTCAAACCTTACTAAATGTGTAAAATTGTGTTTTATACTTAATATATTTTTGAAACAATTTTCACAAAGTATTTTGAACCAAAAATCAAGCCTAAAATCAATTTTTCAGAGTGATGCACAGATGCACCAATCCATGCATCGATGCACCATGAATTAAATTGAACATCGAATGCATTTCATGCATCGATGCACATACCATGCACCGATGCACTGAGGATTTTATGAAAACATCGAATGCATTTGATGCATCGATGCACCAGCCATGCATCGATGCACTCTGGCTATTTTGAAACATCGAATGCACTTGATGCATCGATGCACTCTTAGTGCACCAATGCACTAAGGATCCAACGATCAAAATATTTGAATTTTACATTGATGCACCGATGCACCATGGGTATGCATCAAAGCACTGACGCTCCCAATTGTTTTTAATTAATTGTTTTCACACTTAAACGGCTATATTGACTCCACTAATCATCACCAATGTTCAGAAGTGATTCAAGGTGTATTTAAGCAAGCTTAGAAGCCATTGATCAATAACAAGAAACATCAAGCAACTAGAATCAAGAGAGAATCAAAGAGAAAACATCAAACCTCAAGTTTGAGCATTTCAAGCCTATTTTTCATTCAATATTCATTTTGCTTTCAAGAACACTTATTGTGCTAAATTGTATTCAATTTTTGAGTGTTCCTTTCTTTGTTCTAGAATTGTACAAACAATCTACCTTGTGAGGATTTCCTTGTAAGTTTGCAAATTTGTATTGTTCTCTTTGGGAGAGAGTGTTCTCAAGAATTTGGGGTATAATTCTTGAGGGCTTATAAGGTTACTCTTTGTCCTCAAAAGAAAGAAAAATTAGTGAATTTATGGAAAATCCTTAGTGTGGATAGCTAAGGTAATGGACATAGACTTTGGTTGAGAAAGTCGAACCACTCTAAATCGCAGTGCAAATTTCTTTCAATTTTCTGCAAAAACTTCTACCAAAATTTTAATTGCCAATTCACCCTCTCTTGGCCATATTCGTCAATAGATCAACTCAACAATTGGTATCTGAGCCTAACTCATTTGAAGGTTTAATCTCCTCTTGAGTCGATTCGGGAAGAGTTACATCGATAATCAAATTCATCAATGGCCTCTACTTCAAACTTCGACTCCGTTCTCGATTCGATGCCCGTAAACAAGCCTCATTTCTTTAATGGGGCTAATTATGCCTATTGGAAAAATAGGATGATGTACTTCATTCAAGCAAGTGACATGGGAGCATGGAATGTCGTAGAAGAATGATACTTCAAGCCTCTCACTCATCCAAGATTATGGAGTGAAGGAGAGACAAAAATGTTCCAACTCAACTCCAAAGCCATCCATATCATATTTTTTGCTCTTGGACCAGATGAATACGGAAGAGTTTCATCTTGTACAACCGCCAAAGAAATATGGGACAAACTTCAAGTCACTCATGAAGGTACCGATGAGGTAAAGAAATCTAAAATTAGTATTCTAACGCATAGCTATGAAAATTTCATGATGAAACCAAATGAAGATATCAAAGCTATGACGAATAGATTCTCAACGATTGTCAATGGTCTCAAATCATATGGAGAGATCATTTCAAATGAAAAACTTGTGAGGAAGTTAGTCTACTCCCTCCTAAAATCGTGGCAATAAAAGAAAACGACAATCATCGAGTCTAAGGATCTAAAGTCCTTAACTCTTGAAGAGATAATCGGTTCACTCCTCACTCATGAAATGATGCTTGAAGATGAGGTGAACCTTGATAAGATTGAAGAGACACCAAAGGAGAAGGAGAAGAAGAAAAACATTGGAGTTGCTCTCAAATCCACAAAAAATGAGAGTGATTCGGATGAAGATGACGATGACGATGACGAGGAAATAGAATTGTTTGCCAAACGGTTCAAAAAAATGATGAGACCTTACCGAGGAAGAAAATTCAAATGAAATGAAGGCCTCAAAAATGAACTAAAAGAGAAGGATCCGATCATTTGCTATGAATGCAAAACGCCGGGGCATGTCAAATATGATTGCCCACAATTGAAGAGAAAGGGTCAATCAAAGAATAAGCACAAGGCTCATGT